TGCATTTCGGGCTCACCCAGAAATCCAGGATGATCTCACTTCAAGATCCTTAACTGAATTACATCTGCAAAGATTCTTTTTCCAAATAAGGTCACATTCTGGGGATTAGGACTCAGCTATATCTTTTCTGGGGGGCTCATTCAACCCCCTACAGTGGGAGGTGCAGGTGAGGCTCCTGTCTGAGACAGGGCAGGGAAAGCAGGGAGGGGAGGAGGCTGAGAGTTCTGGACCCACAGGCTTCCCTGGGCCTTGCCTACGGCACGCTTCTCATCTATCTGCAAAGAGTGGTCCCTCAGGGAAATGGGAGTGTGCCAGCTGGCTCGCTGGGAGGTGGGGCCTGAGTGAGTGGGCCAGGAAAGAGCCCGCTGACAGGTAGGGCCCATCCCGGCTTTGATTCATTGACTGTCTGAGCAGGAGCTGGACCGATCCGCTAGGAATTACAAAAATGCTTCGCACATATTTTCCTCTCGCTGGTGGTTTTCTGCTCGGTTTAACCCCTGCTGGGCCCCTGATCCCATTGCTTGTCTGTGTCTGCGGCTATGGCTCTCTCTCTGCATCTCAGCCACCCCCTAGCTCCAGACACTCTCTCTTCACATCCCCTCCCCTCTCCCCCAGTCATTGACTCTTGGCTGGAGTGGGCAGGGCTTGACCACGTCCTCATAATTGAAATTTTTGGCTTCCAAAGCAGGGTGGTGCTTCCCCAAGTCAAGGGGACAGATTCAAGCTGAGGCCTCTGCTAGGGCAGGAGGAAGCTTGAGAAATGTCCTGGATGCCAAAGCCAATGACCAGGAAAAGACTTTTGCCTGGGTCCCAGAGGACCCAAGTGGCCTTGTAATGAAGCAGACTTAAGGCAACTGATCCCCAATCTCCTGCCCCAGTCATGTTGCCTTCCTTCCTGCCCCTGCCTCATGGCATTCGCAGACTCTTCCCAGAGGGAGGAAGTCCTTCATCAATAAAAAGTGTTTTAAACTACCGGAGTCAAGGCAGAAGCTTCTGAGGCATACTCAGTCCCTGTTCCACCTTCAAAAGTCCTCCCTTCATCAGGCTAAAGCCCCAGTTTGTGCCTGTATCCTCCTGGCCCTTGTAGGACCCCTTTCATTGGACTGTGTCTTAGTCCATTTCAGTTGCTGTAACAGAATATCACAGACTGGGTAATTTAAAGAAAAGAAGTTTATTTCACTCATGGTTCTGGAGGCTGGGAAGTGCAAAAACATGGCACCAGCATCTGGTGAGGAACTTTTTGCTGTGTCATGACGTGGCAGAAGACGTCACATGGTGAGAGCTGGTGTGTACATTAGGTCAGGCCTTTCTTCCTCTTCTTCTAGCCACCAGTCCCCATGATGAGGGCCCCCCACTGACGATCTTACCTAATCCCAATTACCTCCCAAAAGATCCACCACCAATCAACACATGGATTTGGGGATTAGGTTTCCAACACATGAAATTTGCTGGACACATTCAAATCATAGCAAGCTTCATTGGATGTCGGGCACCAGCTTTGGCAAAGATGGCTGCAGAAACAGCCCTCCAAAAATCCACATGCCTGTGCAGAAGGCTGTGGCTGGAGGAGAGGGCATCACATCACCCCTGTCCCCTCAGGAGTCTCTAGGGAGAAATTCCCTTTCGAAACCAGTCCCAGGACAGGCTCTGCTTTCCCTGAGACTCCTCTTTTTTGATTATGAGCATCACATAACAAGATCACATTTCCATTTTTCTTTCGGCTGCCAGGAATCTCAGAGCCAACTTTGAAGCTCAGCCATGGCAATTATGTGGCCCCTTGTGATCTGGAACATTTATTTTCTTTCTTTCTGTGGTCTTAGTTTTCTCACTCTGTTTATATCCTCGCTCATCCTGATTCTCTATTTTATCAGCATTTTCATTAGGTACCTTCTGCTATAAGCTGCTTTACATGCTGTTTGGAATAAAGAGGACTGTAAATAGGGAAATAAATACATCGTGGCTCCATTATGATGTTAATTGATTGCTGAAAATGTGATTATTTAGCAAAATAAATGAATTCCCATCCTGCATTGTCTTTGAATTTCGAATAGAGGTTACCCGGGAGACTCTCTTTCTTCTGCTAGTAACCCTTGAGCTCCTGTAGATCTAACGCCTGGTGCACAGAGGGCCTTGCCAGTCTTGACCAGGTGAGTGGATGGTGTTGACCATAAAGATGAGAAAACATCAACAGCATCTCTCACAAGCTGAGTGATGTCAGGGTACCCTCTGCCTCCCTAGGCCTCAGTTTCCTTATGTGAAATAGAGGGAGTCACCCAGCCACAGCCTCACTGAGTGGTTGGGAGGATCTCGTGATGGGTGAGAAGATGCTTTGTGAACTGTAAGATGTAGGGCCTCGTAGAGCCCATGGGCTTATGTATCCTGTGGGTAGCTGTTGGTAGTAGTTCTCTTGGGATTGGAGGAAGGGTGGTGCCATGTCCTGTTGAACTCCTGAGAGCTGGCTGGGCAAGAGGGCTGCCCCGCTGGCTCTACCACATGCCTGGGGTCAAGGGGCCTCTCTCTCAAAGCATCCTCTGGGCCCGAGACTCAAGTTACCATGAGGGGATCAGACAGCTACTAGGACATTTGTCTGCCAGGCTCGGCCCCTCCCCATCCACCTGGCCCCGACCTTGAACTCAGGGCTGTAAGAATCCTCCTTCCCACATTCACTGGGAGAGAGTGGCCCCTTCCCCTGCAAAGAGGGCACCAGGTGTCTGAGACGCATTCCGCTTGGACCATCTCCACCCTTGAAGGAGCAGAATTCACGAGGCATTTCTATTTCCCTACTTGTAATTCCTTCGGACAACCTTGCGAAGTAGATAAGATGGCATTCGTCACTGATGATTCTTGCAATTTTCAAGATAAGACAGCTGAGCTCACTAAAAGGGTCACAGGACTGCATCCGGGAGCACCAGGCCCAGGATCCCGGCTGGCCTCAGGGGCAGGGCCTTCCCAGCAAAGCAAACACCTCCCTTCTCCCACTTTTTCCCACAAAGTGATTGTTTTTGCCTCTCTTTTGGAAGGTGACCCAATAACCAATTAACAGTCCTTTGTTCTATTTGGCCAGGGCAGGGCCCTCTCCCAGGCTGAGAGAGGCAGGGAGTACCCCCAGGCCCTGGCCCCCGCAGCCAGCCACCCAGGGCATTGCTGTCATTCTCCGCCTTTCTGTGCTTTGCCATTGGTTTTGTTTTCCTCTAGTTTCCTAGTAAAGGTTGCTTTTGAAAATCTTCAACCTTGTCTCCCTGAGCAGACGGGAGGGGTGTTTCCACCCCTGGGCGGCGGGGGAGGACGTTGCGGGGTGTGGCCCAGGGCCTGAGCCAGCCTCCCGGAGACTGGGCGGGAGACTTCAGGGGAAGACTCAGAAACAGCTGTGGGCCTGCCGGCCTCTCCCTCCCAAGCTGCTGCCTTCCCGGCCCTTGGCCATTTGCACTTGGCATGGGGGACTCCTGAGGAATGAGAGATGAAAGCACAGGGTGGCCTTTCTCCGACTTTAATGTGCACACGAGTCTCCTGGGATCTTGTTGATGTGCACATTCTGATTCTGTAGGTCTGGGGGTGAGGCCAAGATTCCGCACTGCTCATCAGCTTCCAGGTGAGGTGAAGGTTGCGCCATGTTGTTGAATGCAGTCCCTTCACAGCACAGAGAGGAGAGGGGACCATAGCCCAAGCCCCCTGCTGCCTCCCAGAGCGAGGCTCTCCCCAGCGTGGCCTCACCGCCCTCTATGTGCCTCATCCATCACATACGTCCTCATTGTCCCTCCCAGCCTGTGAGCTTTTAGAAGGTATTGCAACCCGGCACAGGAGCTGGCACTTATAAATATTCAAGCAAGTAGGTGACTCTCAGAAACATCGCCCAGACCCCCGAAATAAATCTCGGCTCAGGGAGCCCCAGACCCAAACCCCAGAGCAAAGAGCAGGGAGACATTTGGGGCCACTCCAGAGTCTCAGTGTCTGTGGCTTCCCAGTTCTGACCTTGAATTCCCCGGGAAGGGATTGCAGAGGCCTGGGAAGAAGGTTGCAGTGGAAGGGGATTCGGTTCCCAAATGGGCAGCGGGAAGAGGGATAGAATCAGGGCGGGCAGAGTCCTCCTTGGTTCTGGCCCCAGTGTCCCGTGTGATTCTGAGTAGGACCACCTGTCTCCTCCCACTCTGGGGCCATTCGAGTTGTCCTGTTATGCCCCTCTGAATGGTCAACGGGTCATTCCTGGGCAACAGAGCCTTTGGCAGCTGGTATCTTCCAGGTCCTTGAAGTCTCATGTAGAGGAAAAATCATGCGATCTGGAGGTGAAGGAGTGGCCCTAACTGGCCCTAAATACTTCGGGTGCCCCTGGGCACGTGGTTTCATGGCTCTGAGCCTCTATTTCCTCCTCTGGTATGTGGGGATGGCAACTCCTGGGGATCCCACGAGATTAAGCGAGGAGTTGGGGGGAACGAGCTGAGATATCACACGGCACCCCCTTTACTTCTTCTTCTTCTTTCTTTTTTTTTTTTTTTGAGACAGGGTCTTCCTCTGTCACCCAGGCTGCAGTGTGGTGGCGCAATCATGGCTCATTGCAGCCTCAACCTCCTGGGATCAAGGGATCCTCCCACCTCAGCACCCCAAGTAGCTGGGACCACAGACGCACACCACAGCATCTGGCTAATGTTTGTATATTTTGTAGACAGGGTTTCACCATGTTGACCAGGCTGATCTCGAACTCCTGGGCTCAAACGATCCACCTGCCTCAGACTCCCAAAGTACTGGGATTACAGGAGTGACCCACTGTGGCCGGCACCCCCTTTACCTCGGAACAATCCATCTCTTTCCTTGGGGGCCCCCCATGATCTAGACACCACCCACCTTGTTCTGCCTTGGCCAAAATACCACCTAACTGCCCCCACCCATGCCGGGTGCCCCTCCCCCACCCTCCTCTGCTCTTCGCTGAGTCCCACTTGGCTGGTGCCCAGGACAGTGATAGTCCCAACCCTTCCAGCCCATCTCCCCACATCAGTACATTCCGGAGAGCCAACCAAGAGTAGATTCTTTATTCATTTATCTTTTTTTCTTAAAAAAAAAAAGTATTCATTTGGTATAAAAAATAAATATTTTAAATATGACATTGAATAAATAAAAATAATCTGTCAGTATGAAACATCCCCACAGGGTACATTCATCAAAGAGGAATTTGTCACCCAAGGCCAAGTGCTTTACAGTGGAAAGGAAGGAGGGAAACCTCTAAGGCCGCACGGTGGGCCCACGGAGCTAGCACGTGGGCGAGACTGAAGGCTGGATGCCGGGATTGGGGTGAGGAACTAGAGATGATTCTAAGGCAGGAACATCTGTACCATCTGCAGGGAAACGCTACCTCCCCGGGTGCCAGAGCTCCAACCCCACACACTATGTCTACTCTGGAGAGCCGTCAAGGCAGAGCTGGGCTGGCTGGCTCAGGGTGGAAGTGCCCCAAGTCAGGGACAAGGAGAACGATGGGGACGATGGGGAGGAGAGACAAGTAAACTAGCAGTGCTTTTTAAAAAAATGTTTAAATAATAAATAAGGGCCCAGAGCTGGAGACGTCTCTCTTGGTAAACTACAAAATGACTGTCCCCTCTCTCTTCCTCTGGCCAGGCCCAGGTGTGATCCACACCAGCAGATAAAAAGGGAAGAGGAACTCAGCTCCTGGTCCGGCAGAGCTGTTTCACGCAAAGGCTCCGTGATTCAGTGATGCTGTGCAGAGTGGACGCCGAGCTGCCAGATGGGATCTGGAGGGAGCACTGAGGATGGGTACTATGGGTCCGAGTCCAGGCTGGGCAGGAGAGTGACTCAGAGCCAGGGCCACCAGGGCCGCCAGGTGGTCTCGGTACAGAGCACCCAAGTCCACAGGGAGATGAGGTGATGGGTGAGTCAGCCGGGCGCACCGGGTGGAATCAGCAACTCTGGTTTCCAGGCAAATTTGTCTTTCTTGAAGTCCATCTTGGGGGAGTGCAGCCTGCCCCAAGCTAAGCCAGATGGAGCAAGAAGGGGAAGGCAGCCCCTGCATCCTAGACAAGGGTGAGTGTGGCCAAAATCTCAACAACCACATCCTCATCTTGCTGTTGGGACGGACAGATGGACAACTCCCGGCCGCACCCTCCACCGCAACCCCAGGCCTCAGGACCTGCCTGCACGCTGCCCATGCGCCACCCAGGTAAAGTGCTTAGAGAGCGACAGGGAAAGGTGCAAAGTGAGTGAAAAGTACCATAATTAGTACCATCATCTTGTCAGAGGAACTTGGAGGCCGGCAGCCCACTCAGGGTTTGAGAAGAAGCCAGAACACTGCTCTGAGCAGCTGCCCCGATTCGGCTGCCTCCCTCCCTCCCCTGCTCTCAGACTGGAGGGCGTTTCTCCACTTGCCTGGCCCCAGCACAAAGAAAGAGATCGGGTTCCCTGCCTGGGAGCCCAGACATGGGTGGGAGTGGGATGGGGGTGGGGCAGGAGGGCCCACAGCTTCCTGGTCTGAGTCCCAGGCGTCTGCAGCCTCCCTCTCCTCCTCTTGGGAGCAGTGGGCAGCTGATCCCCCCAGTCTCCCCCACCTTCCTGGGGTCTGGCCCAGCCAGGCCCCCCCACCCTCTATGGGTGTCCGGGCCACCGGAGGAGCTTCCCTGCTGTGCGGGAGCACGCTGGGTGCTGGGGCAGGATGGTTCCAGGGCACTATTTCAGAGGCAACACGGGGACACAGACACAGGGACAGGCTGGGCCACAAGGACTGCCTTGCCCACTGCTCCAGGGGGCACAGTTTCAACCAGGAGCAGTGCTCCTCACAACACAATGCTGGGGCGCCCGAGAACAGTGTGAACCAGCCCCCTGGAACCAAGACAGAAAGGCACCCGGCCTCTCCACAAATTGGCCCAGCCCCTGCAGCCTGGACCCTGACACCCCAAAGCAAGTCACAATAGGGGATGGGGGTGGAGCCAGGCCCCGCACTCCCACTCAGGCCTCCCCATTCTCTCAGATCCGACCCTTCTCTGAGCTTCACCTATAAGGCTTATTCCACTTGTAACATTGTCGACTTTCAGACCAGGCCCTGCTAAGCCCTGGCCCTGGCACTTGTGTCGGGAGCCATCATCATATTTTGCTGAGTGGGGACCAGGGAAAGGGGAATTAACTTTGCCACTGAAAGCACCAATAAGTTAATATAAATAGGATATCATAATAAATAGAAATCATTCCGGGTCAGACGCACAGCACGCTTGAAGCTCAGGGTTCCCTAAGACCCTGACCTCAAGTTCTGCTGTCCCTTTGCCCTGGGGACCAGAGAAGGCCTCTGGTCCCCCTCAAGTACCTCTGTGTGACCTCACAAGGCCTCCCAGGGCCTCAGATGTGAGCTGCTACTGTGAGCTACCCTAGCCCCTCCTTACAGACTCTTACCCAGAGGAAGACCCTGGGTCCTTCAGAACCTCTGCACCTGACTTAGCAACCTGCCCCTGCCCTACCCACCTCCACAAACCCCTGCTGCAGGTTCAGCCACCAGATCCTGGCCATCCCAGGCTGTAAGGAACATCACGAGGAAGAGAAGGAAGAACCCACCAAAGCTTTTGGGGCCTCTCCTCCTCCCAGCGTCTTACTTCCCAGGCCTGAAGGTGGCTTCTTTGCCTCCCCAAGAGCCTGAATGCCAAGTGACCTCCTTCTGGAAACTTCTGCCTGACTGTTCCTATGCCCAAGTTCTCTGATCATCCTCAAAAGAAGACAGCCTCCCATCCCAGAGGCCCCTCTCTATCTTCCATTCATCAAACTTCTAGGGGACAAGGAGTCCTTTGGGACCCTAGCCCCTCTGGCCCACCTGAGTCCCAACCTAAGGGGCAGCAAAGGCACAGATGGTGATCATTTGCCAGGGGCTGGTCCACTCCCTGGGGCCCTGCTGTCTCGCTGTGGTCAGGGCTGTTGTAGATGACTGTGTAGTTTGCCCACTGCACAAAGTGAGCAAGAAGCCAAAGGGACAAGTGGAGGCAGAAGTCCAGCCCACGCTCCCCAGTCCACAATCTCCCAGAGGAAGGGGCACCTTCTTCTAGCTCCCTCCCTATGGAAGTTTCCACTCTGCTCAGCTTCATCACAGCCCAGCCCAGAGGGGAGTGGACTGGCCAGGCACCCTCGGGGTCTGCCAGCAGCCCCCATTTGGGTTTAGCCATGCCCTGGGCCCCAGCCACTCTAGGACAGGCCCCCACATCTGGACCTCACTCCTGAGATCCTTTGGTTCACAGCATGCTTCAAGACCTCTTGCTAGAAGGCCTGGGCCAACACGGCGATGGTCTCCTTATACTTCCCCAGGAGTTGACAGCCCAGCTTCTTCTTCTGGAAGACGTCCTTACCCGAGGTGTCAGGGCCATAGGTCACGTCCACATGGCCCACGTGGTACTTGCTGCACAGGCGGCACAGCACGTTGCTAAGGAGGCCTCGCAGGATGTCGGCAGTGGCGTTGAGCTTGCTATGGAGGCTGAGGGCACTGGGGTTGAGGATCTTCTGGTCCCGGGTGATGTTGCCCAGGGAGGTGCCAAGGTACACGACGATGCGGTACAGCTCCACCAGCTTGGCCTTCTCCGTGCCGTTGGCGTGGAAGGGCGGGAAGTCCGTCACGTTGGGGCCGCACAGCTTGTCCAGGTTGTTGGGGAACGGCTCCCCCTGGGCTGTGTACTGAGGGGCAGAGGGCAGGTGACGTGGGAGTCAGGGGTCTGTGTCCCAGCCCTGCCGCCAACCCTTTGGGCAAGCTCTTGAGTCTCAGTTTCCCCATCTAGCGCAAGAGAACCCAACTCTTTGCCCTGTAAGCATCTAGAATTGTCATGAGAGCCAAAAGTAATTGCAGTGTGAGTGTCCTTGCTAAAGATCAAAGCCTAAGCCATGCACGCAGTCATCATCATCATCACCACCACCCTAAAGGGACAGAAGGGAAAACTCGGTGTCTAGCCCCAGCTGGGGCACCACACACCAGTACTTCCATCCCTGCACTCATGATGTTCCAGGGCGCCCCTCCACACCCAGCACCCACAGCCCACTGCCTCTCAACCACATCTCCCTGGTGCCTCACACGCATTTCCCCTCCATCCCTCCCTCCCTGCAGCAGGACAATCACAAGACAAGAAGTGCCAGGCCCCCACCTTTGCACCCAGCTCTCCCCTTGCTCACTGGGCACCCTGAGGAAGCTTCTCTGGGAAGCGTGGGCAGGAAGTGGCAGGAGTCTGCGGGCGGTTTAATCAAGCCATTCTCTCCTTCCAGCCCCAAAAGGTCCCCTCAACCCAGATCAGGACACTCCCTAATGATATTTACAAGCCCCCTCCCTGCCATCTCCTGTCAGTATCTCAGGGGTAACTTACATAGAGAATAAAGAGGGCATTGGCACTGCCATTGAGCTGTGCCAGTTGGCTCCTGATCTGGTTCATGAGGTTGTTGTGACATGGGTGGCGTATGGCACAGGTGGCGTTGACAGGGGTGATGGGGAGGGGGCTCCCTGCCCCATGTTTCCAGTGCAGAACCAGCAGCAGGGGCACAACTCCTGGGGACAGGCAGGAAGAAGCCATGAGTAGAAAGGCAGGGAAGGGTGGCCTGGGGTCATGGCACACCGGAAGGGGGTCCGGCAAGGGTCGCATGGGAGAGGATCCCTGGTTCCTCCTCACCACCTGCAGCTGTCCTCCTGGGGCCTAGTCTTCACTCTGTCACTGCGTGTGTTTCTCTGCTGTCCTCTCTCTACCTTAACTCTCCCTGCTCCCTGGGATGATGGAAAGATGAGGGCAAGATGCAAGCCATTTCCACCAGAAGGGTGCAGGGTCCAGGAGGGACTCCCAGCCATCCCACCCTTTCCCTCAGGAAGGCAAAGGCCCTAAGGCCCCCTGGCCCTCTGGCAGGAAGGCACCAGGCCCCAGGCCCAGCAGGCGCCAGAAAGGAGATCACTGCTTCCCACCTCCCAGGGTGGCCCAGGTTCCTCAGCAGCGCTTCCCACTCACTGGTCCATTGCAGCCCAAATCTCCCAAGCCAGGCACCCATGGGGACCACGGGACATGGGGGAGTGGGGAGGAGTCCTCGGCTGATCCTCGTCTCCCTCCCAAACCTGCCACTTGATTCTGGCTCCCTGGCCAATTGCCCCCCATTCTGCCCCTGTCCCCATCATCTTCTATCTCTTCCTTCCCTAGTGTCCCCCATCTCACTCAAGTTCACCCCATTTCTGCCTGGCTGTCCCCACTCTCCATCCCCAAATCATCATTCAAAACTCTCTGTTCCCCCAGCTCTGGACAGCCCCTGACTCCATGCCTTCTCCCGATTCATCTGCTGTCCCTTGTCCCAGGGGTTCCCCTCCTCCCTAACACACACACCGGCTCAGGGAGGGAAAGGAAATGGTGCACCAGGAGAGAGAAAAGGCAAAAGGTCATAGGCAGTCGGGTGGGCGGGGAGGAAGGAAAGTGAAAGGTGACAGGAGAGCTGGGAGCTGTCCCGACATGTCCTGGCTTGCCCCTCCCCCAGGGGGGCCTGTTCTCCCCACTCCCCCAAGCCCCCTTAGACGCCATTCCAGGGCTCCGCAGAAGGGCATCTGAAGGTGGTGGGGGCCGGGGTCAGCGTGTGAGTAAAGCTGGAGACCTCCCCCGGATCCCCCATGCTGGGACAGCGGGGACGAGGGCAGCCTCAAGTTCACTTCTCCTGGGTCCCCTGTTCGTCCCAGCATCCCCAGGCAGTGCTGAGGCCCCGGGGTGGCTGCGGGAGGGGGGCCACACCCCTATATCTCACCTAGCGCAGACCACACGCTTCCAGACACCAGCAGATGGAGGCGGCACCTGCTCCCGTCCCAGGCCGGAGTTTGCAAGCTGCTCGCCGCCCGCGCCCCTCCCTGGGAGCAGCCCGGGACCGCGGTTGGAAAGGAGAAAGCGGAAAGAAAGAAAGAAAAGAAAAAGAGAGAGGGAGAGTGAATCTGCGAAAAAGCGCAGAGGGAAGAGCAGCCAGCGAGAGTGTTGGGAGCGAGGAGGAGGAGGAGGAGAAGGCGAGGGGGAGGAAGAGGAGGAGGAAGGCTCGGCGCCCCCTCCCTCGCCGCCAACCTGCCGCGGGGCGTGCGGTGCTTGGGACCATGTGCCCGCGCTCGCTCCGGGCCGCCACCCCGCGCCTCCGGTGGCTGCGCGGGCGCCCCAAGCGTCCGTGTGTCTGCGGCGGGTGGGCGTCCGGTTCTCGCTACCAAGCGCCCCAAGTTGCCGCCGCGCCCCGCAGCGGGGACGCGAAGCCGGCGCGGGGCGGGTGTATTTACCTGCCGCCAAGACCTTCATTATGGGCTGCACTTCAGAGGGCCTTGGAGGAAACCTCAGATGCCGGCAGTTTTCAGAGGTTCATGCTCAAATGGGGAATTTGCCTGATTTATATACTGGAGCCTGTGTTGTAAGACAGAAACAGCTATATTTAGCCGGGATCCCCAGTCCAGGAAGTTGTTTGAGGTGCATCATAGGAAATTATGAATGGAAGAAAGTGAGAGTGAAGGGGGGGGGACAAGTGAGGGGGGAGGGTGGGGAGAACAGACTTTTTCCCTCTTCTAAGAATTTGATTGATAAAATTATAATGAAGCCTTCGACAAAACGCCCTGCGGTTTTCCTGCCTGGCTTGTCCCAGGAGTTGTCTGAAGATGGGCATCGCCAGGAGGGGGCCCCTGGCCGAGTCAGCAGGGGTCCCAGCAGTGGGCGCCCCAGACGGTCCTGACTCACCTGCGTTTGGGGAGGTAGCGAGTCTGGACTAGCAGATGGAGACTGGCCTCTGTGCCCCCTGGTTGGGGGGCTTTAGGGGGGCAGTGGGAGGAGGAGGGCTGGGGCTTGGCTGAGAAGGAGGCTCCAGGAGGAGGGGCCGGAGCCGGCGTGGACTTTAGACGGTCATAAAGTGGAACTGAACATGGGCGCTAGAAGCCACCCCAGAGGTAGCCTCCTCCAATCTGCCCATTGCCACTGGGCTCCAAGGGGCTCCGAGGGGAACGCGTTGCCCAGGGCCCCAGAGGGTCAGGCCTCCAGACACCACCAGTGCGCTCGCCCTGCTGACCACTGTACCTGTGAGGCTGGGGAAGGGGCTAGGAAGACATGGGGGTAGGGGTGGCTGTGACTCAGTTCTGTCGGGACACTCTGGGAAGGTGCTTCTGGGAAGGTGGTCCAGCATTTCCATTCTGAAGCGGGACCGAGAGAGGCTTGGCGAAATCGTACCCCAGTTTCCTCCTCAGGGTGCTGATTGATGGCTGGGGAAACAGAAGTGGCTGGTCCCTTCCAGACCTGCCTTGGAAGCCCCTTGGAACTCAGCCTCAGAGAATGATGGAGGTCCCCAAAAAGTGCTTCTAGAGGCTCTTCTGAGGCCAGGCGATTCGTGAATGAGGAAGGGCAGGAAGGAGTAGTGGGGAGCAGGGCAAAATGAGCACAGGGACACCTCTAAGAAAGGCAACAGAAAAGTGAGAATAAATACGCCCTACGAGATGCGGGAGCGCTGGCCAGACAGCCTGCCATACAGCTGGGGCCATGCCATCTCTAAAGCTGCCAGGGGACCCCCCAGTACCAGGAGAGGATTTAGTCCCCTGGGGCCCCTTCCCAGCCCTTCCGCCCGACCCTGACCTGAGATCAAGGTGTGCAAGTTGGTTTTCCAAGGCCAGGGAGCTCCTGCAGCCTTGCCTGGGTCCCCACCGCCCCCTCGCCCATCCTCCATGCCCCCAGCTCCTGCCTCTTGCCACATCCCGGACCTGCCCAGCCACGCGTTCCTCCTTCATCGTGCCAGGACGAGCCCTGGTGCCTGCTGCCATTCCCCACCACACACACACCCTGCTTTATCTAGGCTCTTGCCCCCCCATTCTCTCCCAGCAGGGCCTCAGATGTGAGGTGATAAAACTGCCTATCCCAGCTGGCACTTCCCGAACTGGCTCTCCTTCCTCCTTCCTGCCTCTCACCCCACACCTTGTCTCTTCTTTAAGGGACCATGGAGGGCCCCACTTGGCACTTACTGCTCCTATACACTTGCTCTGGGGTCAGCGTACACTACTAGGAGACCCACCTGCCCTGGCCTGGCTCAGGCAATCCCACGTCCCAGGACACCCCAACTCAACCCTTCTTCTTACCCCTCCCCCAGCATCTCTTGCACAAGGACCTGACCACTCAGAGCACGTGAACTCTGGACCAGCCCCCAGTCCCATCCCACATCACCTAGACCCCTGTCAGCTAACTCAGCCTGGCTTTCCTGACCTGGACCCCAAATCCACGTGACCAGGGGCTCACTGTGGCCTCCACCTATCAAACCCCCATCGCCCGGCCTGAGTCTCTCGTTAGGCTCAAGAGTTCTCCTGCAGCCACCCCTACATCCACCACCATGCTGCCCAGTGTCTCCCCTGCATCCTTCCAAGCGGACCCCAGGTCTTGCATGCCTTCTGGCAAGCCAGACTCCACACCAGCCCTATAATCCACCCCTGATCGCTGTTTAATCTCAGCCCCACCCCACAGGAAACAGGAAGTGAGGACAGGGTCTAGAAGACACTGACACTAGGGCCACTTAACCCCAGCCCTGACCGAGGCCCCTCCAGTGCCTCAGTTTCCCCTCCTCTCACGGTACCTGACTTGGTTTGTGCTCCCCAAGTGCTCTGGGCCCCTCGGTGCCCCAGGCCCAGCCTCCCCCTCCTGTCCATGTCCAGGCACCACCTGCTCTGGGCCTCTGGAGGGAAGGCCGGGCAGGGTCTCGGAGCCGCAAGTCCGTGTGCCGCCTGCAACGTGGCTGCGGCCCCCAGGAATCAGCCGCCCAGGCTACGCTCCAGGCCCACTTTGGTCTCTGGGAGTTTGTTTTCTTCCCTCCCTTTCTGTGCTGTGTGTGTGTTCCCCGCCCCCAGCCAGCTCCCTCATGGAAGGCACCCTCCCTTCTTGGCTGCCGGCTCCCAGGGTCACGACCCCAGGCCCCACCCTGGAGTGGCAGCCCCAGCCTGGCCCCTTCCAGCTGTGACTTCATCCACAGCCTGTCCTGCTCCTGCAGATGGGGCCTGCTGGGGATATGACCGGTCTCAGGGTGAGCGGGACTGTCCCAGCCACATGGGATCCCCTGACATTGAGCAGGAGTTACCAGGCCAGAACCCAGGAGTGCTGTCTCCAGGTGGCTGTGCCATCCAACTCATCACGGCTCTCCAGGAAGTGAGTGCACCCTCTAGCATGTTCAGCTACCCAGCTGCTTGTTTTCTGCTGATTTTCACCTGCCATCCACAAGTCTCTCCTGGAATGTCACAGCTGCTTAATTTTCAGATGGGGAAACTGAGGCTCAGAGAGGTGAAGATACTATGTGTGGCTCACACAAAGAGTTAATAACAGAGCCAGGTCTGGAACCCGGGCTTCTGTCTTGCAGGCCACAGCAATCCCTGCAGCACATCTTGCTCCCAGAGAGTGAAGGGCATGGCAGGTGTGCTCGGGCCACCTTCCTCCAGGAAGCCTCCCCTGCCTCCCACAGCCCCGACCAGCTCACACCGGCCTTGTCCTACCCACTCTTGTTTCAAGTGGGGGCGAGTCTTATTCCTCAACCCTTGAGAGCTCAGTGGGGTCTGAGACTCACTTGTACTCTTGACAGCACCTGGCTCAGGGTTATATCTTGACATGAATAGAGGTTAAGTATTTTTTGAGAAAGCATTTTACAGTTTCCAAAAACCGTCAGTGCCAAGTCTCTTGTGGAAAGGAGGCAAAGAAGTCTGAGGGTTTGAAGAATGGACTCTGGCCTCATTCAGAACCAGGTTGGAGGTTTGGCTCTGCCAGTTATGAGCTGAGTGACTTTGGGGAAGGGCCTGCCACCTCCTGGCCTCAGTTTCTTCAGCTATAAAATGGGAATAATGGTACCACCATTGTGGGTTTGCTCTGAGGGCTCAGGGCTCAGCATGGTTCTGGGCACCCAGCAAGCTGCCTGTCTGCTTATCACCACCCACTGTGCTGACCTCCCTGTGAAGCAAGGGGTCTTGTCCCCATTTGACAGATGGGGAATCTTGGGTCCATGCCAGGGTGCTGAGTGGGGAAGGCTGGGCAGGAGCAAGAGCTGTCAAGCCTCTGCTGATGGTAAATCGAGGCAAGATACCCACGTAGCCTCCAGCCTCAAGGGTGCCCCAGAAAGATCAGACAGGTTGTGGAAGGGGGCTGGCAGGGCAGTGTGCTCCGTCCCCCAGAGCCCCCCTCCTGGCCCCTCACCACCCCCACCCCAAGCCTGATCTGAGGACAGCAGCTGACCTGGCCTTACCGCCCCCAGAAGCTGATTCACCCCCAGGCCCCAACTGAGAAGGAAGGAGACAAACTCAGCTCTGAGGGGCTTGAATCACCAGCCGCCCCCTGCAAAGCCCCAGGGTGGGGGGGTGCGGGGGTGGGGGTCAGCCCCTGCCTGTCTGTCTCTTTCCTGGGCCCCGGGGCTCTCAGGAGAGAGGGCAGCATGGCAGTGGCATGGGCAGGGGTGGGATGGGAGGTCCCCTCACAGTCAGGCATTCTGTGTGGGCAGCCAGCAGCAGTTACTCACCAGGTAAGCAGCTCTCCGGGCACTGGGGAATTCCCCAAGACCGGTGACCCAGAAACAGCGCTCCGGGCACCCCCGGCTGCCCAGTCTGTCCTCCCTCCTTCCTTCCCCAACCCCTCTGGCCCTGGTACCTGGAAAATGAACAGAGTCCTCAGGTGGGCCTAGGAAGGAAGCTGGGGTCCAGAGGGTGGGTCCCAGGCCCAGGGCTGGTGAAGGGTGGCCAGAGGAGATGGGGAAACTCAGGAATGCCTGGCACAGCCCAGCCAATTGGGCATCCTGGCCAAAAAGGCAAGAGCACCACACTCTTCAATGCTTGAGGAGTGACAGTGTAATGCCACCAGCGGACCGTGCCTCTACTGTTCTCACCCCAGTGGTGTGGGTTCAAATCCCTCCTGCCCCAACCACCAGCTATGTGGCCTGGGGCAACGCACTTCCTCTCTCACAGCCTCAGTTTTCCCTCTGCAAATGAGGATGCTGTTGTAACAGCCTTGTGGGGCCATCACCGGGATGTTTCCTGGGAAATGTGGACAAACGCCTAACGCGTGGCAGCCATTCTAATAAGATCTGGCTATGGCCGAAGAAGGAGCTCAAACCCCAGACCGAGTCAGGGGCTTGGGTTAGGGCTGGGTCCCGTGGTCAGCGCAGTGCGGTCTGAGAGTCAGGGCAGGAGGTGGCTCCTGGGTCCTCTCAGTTAATGGAGTCTGGTGTGGGTTTTAGGAGAGTGGGTAGCATCTCAGGGCCTCGGGGAGGGAAATAAGCAGTACTCCCCCCATCTCTGGGCCCTGGAGAGCCCAGCTGTCTTCTGGGGGCTCTTGAGGTCCAGATGCTGGGCCTATCGCCTGCCCCTTCTCACCCTTACCGGATCCAGTCTCTGGCAGCGACCAGCAGTATCCCCTCAGGGCCAAGGAGAAGCCAGAAGCCACCCTGGCCTTCTGCCAACTACTCCCATCATCACCCTGACATTTCCCGACCGACTGTGTCAGGAATCAACCCCCTGGAGATGAATCAGAGTGACTGCATTTTTTTTTCTTCATTTCTGATAGAAATTGCAAGGGAAGCAGCAGCCCCTGATCATTGGCAGGGCCAGCCAGCGGCCTGGCTGTGGCGTTGCGTGGGGCCGGTGCCCCCCAGGGCTCTGTAGAATGGGTTGCTGTCTACCTCAGCCATCAGCATTTCGTGAGCATGGCCTTTGAGACTCTGCAAGCACTTTTACCTCCCCCGGGCTCTCCCTGAATCTCGAACTAGCCTGAGACCATTGCAGGCAGATGTAGAGAGAGCAGTGTTTTCACACTGCGGGCCTCTGCCTCTTCGTGGGCCATGGATTCAATTAGAGGGTTGCCACCAACACTTTCAAAAAGGAAATGGAATAGCGAAATCACCTGGCATCGCCCAGAGCCAGGGCGAGGATCGCTCCATGAAACATTTTTCCGGTTGCCTGTGTGTGTCAGTATCTGCATCCTCATCTGGTGGCAAGGTGCAATGTATTTCTTACTGTGGGTGGCAGTCAAAAACATTTGCAAGCCGCTGGTATCGATGTTGAAAGCCAGGCCCAGAGGGGCTGAGGAGTGACTTGCCCAAGGTCACTCAGCAGTGTCTCACGGGGCTCCTGACTTCCCTTCCAGCTCTGGAATAGGCCAGAGGTGCCGCAGGGTAGGATGGGGCGGGGCTGAGCAGGTGCTCAACGTGGGGGACCTGGCGGCACCCTGTGCCGTGACAAAGGCCTCCCAGAGCCCAGCCGCTCACTGTCCACTCCCTTCCGCAGCCTCAGACCCCTGGGCTCTCTGCCCTGCCCCATCCCACCTGGGTGGAGCCCAGGACAGTCACAGGCCTTTCTTTCCTACTCCACCAGGGAGCCTTTCATCCTCACCGCAGGGTGCGGGAAGAGGAAGTGGCCACAGCCACCTTCCCAGGGCAGCCCGAGGCCAAGAGCCCCAGCCTGCAGTAGAGGGCGCACACTTGGGCTCCCTGTGGCTCTGGGACGTGGCTGAGTGTGTTTGTCTGTCTGTCCGAGTCTGAGTGGGCATTTGCGTGAGCACGCGTGTGTAGTGAGTGCCTCTGTGTCTGTGCATGCCTGTGTCTGGTACCTTGTGTGCGTGTGTGGTGTGTGCACGTGTGTAGATCTGCTTGTACCTTTTGCTTTGTGTGACTGAGAGCTAGATGGTGCACATCTCTGGCTGCTATTGTGAGTTCTCCGTGTGGTTGTGTGAGTGTGTCTGTGTGTGTGTTTGTGTGCACACGTGCCCATGGGCATGAAGCCAGTGCGACTGTGTGTCTGGCCTCATGTCTGCCTGAGTTTGTGTGGTACTGGGGATCCCTGGGCACGAGGGCTAGGTGAGCAGGGAGGTCTAACCCTGGGCGTGCACGAGTGCATTTCTGAGCCTCCAGGCCTGCGTGTGCCCCGGCGTGTGTCTCCAACAATCGCTGCTCCTCGCCTTCCAACCCCCGCCCCTGGGAACCATGTGGCAGCCTCACATCACAGGGGCCACCAGCAGCTGGCTTCCTCCCTACCCCGCCCCAGCCCCTCCTCCCCACACCGCCCTGGCCACCCTGACTTTTGGCACAGGGACAAAGCTGATGTCAGAGGCGAGCTGACAGCTTTCTTCTCCCACTGGATTTTCCAAAAGAGAGACCACAGCGGCCCCTATTAAATAATTGCGGGGCTGGGGGGTAAAGGAGGGGCGTGTCACTCAATGATTTCCTGGACTCGGAGGCCATAAACAGAACAGGAAGCGGCCCAAGGACCTATTCAGCCTGAAACTGGCCATGCAGAGGTGTGGCCCTGGCCTTCTCTCCTTCCCCTCCCCCCGCCAAGCACAGTGGGGCCACCCTGACCCGTCCCAGCGCCCAGGGGAGCCTGAGGGATTGTTCTGAGGATGGTGGGTGGGAGGGTGATGGGAGCCTCCGGTCTGGCGACGGTGATGACATGGAAAGAATAAAGTGGTCCCATCCCACTGGGTGGGGAGGATGGAGGGGCGAGACCTGGCCGAGGTTGGACTATCCTCTTCCCTGGGAAGAGAAGGAAGAGTGAGCTTCCTGGGGTGAGGGGAGGGATGGGGCCAGGTTGGGGAGCCGCTGGGGGGACCTGGGATTGGAGGGGCCAGGCCTGCCTCTGTGTCTTGCAACTGGGGCATGATACCTGTCCCCCACCTCCTGCACCTTTGGGTCCCCCTAGACCTCCAGGACCCTCCCAGCCCGGAGTAGTGCCCTTCCTGGGGCACAGGCCCCGAAGGCTTTCATAAGCCTCTCTCCCACCCCCTCCCCACAAAACCAAGCATTACCAAGTGCTCACCAGAAGCCCCTATGGGCTCAAGTCCTGACCCCCATTCTCTGAGGGAGGCATTTTAATCCTCATTTGACAGACTTGGAAACTGAGGCTCACAGAGTGGAATGATTTGTGCCAGGTCACACAGTGTGTAATGGAGCCAGGTCTCCACCCCAGCCCCCTACCCCCAGCCTCCCTAAAACAGGACCCTGGAGGCGCAGGTGTGGTCTGAGCAGCCAGGCCCAGGGGGGTCCCCGCAGAGTCACTCCCCGGAGAGCCCCTCCTTCTGCCTGGACCAGGCCGCCCGGTGGCTGATAAGCCACAGGACTGCATGACACAATCCCTCTCTGATCTTCTGCCCAGCCGAGCCTCCGCCCCCACCCATCCCACCCCTGGACCCTGTTTCCATCTCCTCCCTTTCTGGGTGGGACCAACGCCTGGGCCTGGTGTCATTCATGGCGGGCTATCCAGAGAGCCAGATTCTCTGTGAACCTCTCGGCTGTCAAGGTCTCTCCTAAGTCCACCCTAGCCAGAGGGCTGGCAGCAGGGGACCCTTGCAGAGGGAGGACAGGGGCCTGTGCCTCCCCACCCTCAGGGGGCCCACGTGCTGGGTGGGGGTGGAGGACTTAGGGCCTGTCTTGGCCCCTACTGGCTTCAGAGTCCCCACTTGGTAAAGGAAAAGCTCGGAGAAGAGATGAGGCTGCACCGTGGAGGGGAGGAGGCTAAATGGGCTCTGGAATCAGCCAGACCCCAGGTCCAGGCCCACCTCGGCCACTTACAAACTGTGCGATCTTGGGCAGGTGGCCTGATTGCTCAGGCCTCACTTCCAACGTCTACCAAATGGGGGAACAGTGTTGTCAACCTGTGAGGTCAGCGATATCCTCCAAAAGGCTGGCCAGCACGGAAGACATACCTTGGTTATTGATATTGCTATTATTTGAAACAGGGACTCATTCTGTTGCCCAGGCTGGAGTGCAGTAGTGCCACCATAGCTCACTGCAGCCTCAATCACATCTGCTCAAGCAATCCTCCTGCCTCGGCCTCCCAAAGTGCTGGGATTACAGGCATGAGCCACTGCACCAGACTGTGTTGTTGATATTATCTTAGCTATGGGGCCCAGAGAGGGGAAGTCGCTTCTCCAAGGCCACACAGCAAATTAGTGGCACATTCCCAATAGTATGTGGACTGGTGACCTCCCAGGGAGCTGGAAACCCTGGGTTTCAGTCCTGATTTGCTTGTGAGAATTCCAGAAGGAAGCTTCTCAGAGTCTCAGTGTCCCTTTCTAGATAAGTCCATGAGTCCCAAAGTGTCTAGAAAAGCTTCACTGGGGCCAGGTGTGGTGGCTCATGCCTGTAATCCCAACACTTTGGGAAGCCGAGGTGGGCAGATCACCTGAGTTCAGGAGCTCAAGACCAGCCTGACCAACATGGAGAAACCTCGTCTCTACTAAAAATACAAAATTAGCCGGTCGTCGTGGCACATGCCTGTAATGTCAGCTACTCGGGAGGCTGAGGCACGAGAATCGCTTGAACCCAGGAGGCAGAGGTTGCAGTGAGCCGAGATCACACCATTGCACTCCAGCCTGGGCAACAAGAGCGAAACTCCGTCTCAAAAAAACAAAAAACAAAAAAACACGGGGGAACAAAAAGAAAGAAAGAAAAGAGAAAAAGAAAAGGTTCTTTAAAGAGTGGCTTGTGGGGAGCAGTGGTGGGGGATATAGAGACCCAGGTCCCCAGGAAAGTTGGGCCCAGGGCTGGGGGAAGTACAGGTCCAGGGCTCCCAGACCAGCATTTGACACCCAACCGCCTACCCGGCTCCAAACCACGGGCTGCAGCGCCCCCCACTGCCCAGCGGGCAGCAGGCCCCACGGCCACGGCCCCGCCAGCCCCAGGCCAGCCTGCAGCCGGGGCCTCCCCCAGAGCCAGGTGGGGTGGCATTTGGGGATTTGAGGAGGTGGGTGGGGATGCCTGAAGCTCAGAATGGAGGGTGGGCAGATACAGGCCAAGGCTGGAGAGGGGGGCACCGCTGAGGGGGTCTTGGAGGAGCCTATGCCGTGTCCAGCCCCTCCTGGGGAAGCCCTGAGGACCGGCCACAAGGGGGTGCCAGGACCACGTGCCTCTGCCTGGCGGAGGCTCTGGGAGGAGGAAGAGGAGGAGGGGGAGGAGAAATTCTCTCTCCTAGCCCTGCTGCCCCTTCCCACTCCCCTCAGACTTCCAGGACGTCCCCTCTCCCCAGCTCCCATTTACAGGTCCTCACGACAGTTCTTCCAAATGGGAATTACAGTCGCCATTTTAGAGAGGAGACAATTAAGATCCACAGACGTAAAATAAACCAGGGACTCATGGGACAGAGCCCAGGCCCCCACTCGGCCCCAACGTGCCAGGAAACCCCAGCATCCAGACCCAGGACTGGCCCACCCAGGAGATAGTTTCCCTATCCCCTCAGAAGCCTCTCCCCAGGCCTCGGGAACTGCTGACGGCAAGATTGGGGTCGAGCCCCTTCCCCTCTCATGTCAGGCTCCGTGCAAGGATTTTACCTATATTTTTCCTTTCTCGCCACTGTGATCCCATAATTAGATCCACTTTACACAGTGAGTGAGGCACACAGCAGTCAAGTCCTGCACTGGCCCAAGGCCAAAGGCACGGGGGCCTTGAACTTGACTGACCACACATGCTGGAGCCTGCTATACAGGAACCACCTCTCCATCAGAAGGAAACCGAGGTCTTCATGGGCTCGGCCTCCTGCACTGCTCTGGGGAAAAGAGAACTCAAGGGTCCCTTGGGAATCCAGGACTCAAAACCCCCAGATGACTGACCCCTCCAGGGTCCCAAACAGCCAGGATTCAAATCCAGGCCTCCTTCCAGCCACCGTGTCCAGAGCTCTCTCCTCTGCCCTTTAACACTTTGATGCTCTTTAAACCCTCACATGTCCACATGACGCTTTCGCATCTGTTCTCTCCTGCTTAGCCTCAACATCCTCAGAGAGGTGTTCGGGGCGTATCTCACCATGCCCATTGCATAGAAGGGGAAACTGAGGCCTGGAGCATGTGTGAGCCACCAGATGCCCCCTGACCCACAAGGGAGTGAGCGATGTTTGCTTTGGTGGAGGATAAATTTGGAGGCTGGCCTCTACCCCCGGCCCTGCCCCAGGGAGAAGCCTACCGTGGTCTGTGCCTGCACACGCCGCTCTGGATCTGGAAGGTTTGCCAGGTCTTCAGTGGGACACCATCGTCTTCCGGGCCAGGCCCCCTCTGCTTCCCTCTCCTGCTAGATCTTCTCTGGAGTCGGCTCCTCACCCCGCCCCCAACTTGACTTCACGTCCGGAGCTGGGTGGCCCTGACACTACCCCCACTTCCACACCCGCCCCCAGCTGAATGGCAGGGGGCAGCAGGTGCAGAGGGCCCCGGGTTCCCACCCAGTCTGTGCCTGACACAGGTGGGGGCAGGGTCTTGGAGTGGCCAAGGGGAGAAGCAGGGCTGGGATGTGGGAGGGGGCTTCCTGGTGCCCAATGCCCCTGCCCGGTGCTGCGTGGCGAGGCCGCTGGGGCCTGAGTCACAGCTGACGGGGCCGCGCCCAGCCTGCCTGAGTGACCCAGGCCGGCATAAGGCGATGACTGGGCAGCCCTCCGCATGACCGCAGGGGTCGGCCTTAGGTGTTTTGACTCAGACCTGCCACAGGCCGTGTGCAGCACAGCCAGCCTCCCCTTGTCCCTGTCCCCAGAAGAGTCACAGGGCTGCAGTTCCCCCAACGAGACACTGGGCCCCCTCCCAGGACACCACTCCCTGCCCTAGCACCTACCTCCGAACCTGGGGTGCCACCTGGCCCATCTGATCCACCCTTGCCACAAGCTCCAGGGCCCCGCCTGCCCAACCCCCTCCCTCAGAGACCTTCGCCCCTCCCCGAGCCCAGCCCTCCTGAGACGTAGGGAGCTGTAGGGAGCCGTAGGGAGCCGGGCCAGCCTTGGGAGGGCCTCCCCACTCCAAAGGAGCATGGACTGTGACCCTTCCTCGGCACTGAAAAAGGGCTTTTGTGGGGATCCCATGTCCCAGCCCCTGGGTGGAGGGTGGGAGGCAGGCAGGGCAGGTGACAGGACAGGGACAAAGAGAAAAGAGCCGAGAAGAAAGAAAACCACTAAGGAGGGAAAGGGGAAATAAGAGAGAGCCTCAGCCACACTGGCTCAGGGACGGCCCTGTCATCAATGTCGTGTCTGTGCTGTCTCCCAGGGAATCTTTGTCACAGCTGGGAGGTGGGCCAAGTT